TCCTATAGTGGTACACTGGGTGTGGTGCCCTATAGTGGTACACTGAATATGGTGCCCTATAGTGGTATACTGTATGTGGTGCCCTATACTGGTACACTGCATGTTGTGCCCTATAGTGGTACACTGAATATGGTGCCCTATAGTGGTACACTGAATATGGTGCCCTATAGTGGTACACTGAATATGGTGTCTTATAGTGGTATACTGAATATGGTGTCCTATAGTGGTACACTGGGTGTGGTGCCCTATAGTGGTACACTGAATATGGTGCCCTATAGTGGTATACTGAATATGGTGCCCTATAGTGGTACACTGAATATGGTGTCCCTATAGTGGTACACTGAATATGGTGTCCTATAGTGGTACACTGAATATGGTGCCCTATAGTGGTACACTGAAATGGTGCCCTATAGTGGTACACTGAATATGGTGCCCTATAGTGGTACACTGAACATGGTGCCCTATAGTGGTACACTGAACATGGTGCCCTATACTGGTACACTGAATATGGTGCCCTATACTGGTACACTGAATATGGTGCCCTATACTGGTACACTGAATATGGTGCCCTATAGTGGTACACTGAATATGGTGCCCTATAGTGGTACACTGAATATGGTGCCCTATACTGGTACACTGAATATGGTGCCCTATAGTGGTATACTGAATATGGTGCCCTATAGTGGTACACTGAATATGGTGCCCTATAGTGGTACACTGCATATGGTGCCCTATAGTGGTACACTGAATATGGTGCCCTATAGTGGTACACTGCATATGGTGCCCTATAGTGGTACACTGCATGTGGGGGTCCTATAATGGTATAGTGGGTGTGATGCCCTATAATGGTATTGTTGCATGTGGCTCTTTGATGGACGGTGACAATATGGCATGTGGCTTACCCACTCTACCTCTGGAGGATGTAATTATCACATTTGGAACATCAGATTTTAAACGCCCAACAAGATCTAGATATCGGGAATACTCAACGTAGTTACGTCATCCATGACTATATAGAATGTGAAAAAAATAAACACATGGACAAGAAACAACAAATTACACGGTTAAAATGCACTTGCACAATGAATATATATCCAGTAATTATGCACTAAATATACCATAAATTAATTAATCACTATAAAAATTACAAGCTTCTCCACTACTGGTTCTTGTCTCACTGACTAATCCATTCACTGTGCAAATGCAGAACTTATCCTTTCTCTTGCATGCATATCAGTATGGTTTTCCCTTGTACTTTTGTTATTTTTAAGTACTCGCTTATTAAATTTTAACAATATAAAGGTGAAATGCAACTCACTTTAATATTACATAATGCAATGCTCATAACTAATCAAAGCATGCAAAGAATTTATATGCCACAATCAATTTATTAAACAAAGTACTAAATGAAAATGAATAATATATGTCATTTTAACCACATGGCAATGAGAATGACAACTGACTGCAGTTTTAAGAGGAAGGATATGAGATAGAAATGCATGAACATGCGTCAGACAATAAATAAAGCTCACCCTGTGTGCCACGACTGCTACTGACTACCGCTTCAGGAACAGAGGCTTTAATTTCGCTCTCTAGTTCTTGAACACGGGGGGCATACCCTCATCCACTTTGACTGTGAAATACAAACGCAGTGATAGTCTATCAATTCAAAAATGACAGGAGTAGTTTCTCATTCATTGTATAATATTACATATTCAATCCATAAGCATCTCCCTTTTCCTGGTAAAACAATGTTTCTGATTTTATACATGAACTGAATGTAGACAATATATTAATTGTTTACCCTTACAGATTGCCTGATTTTTAGTTTTGAAGTATATATATATATGCAAGTGGGCATTTAAGTGGGCTTAAAATATTTGTAGCCACATTGGCTAATGCTACATTGTTTTTCTTATCCTTTACCAATATATTTCGTTACTTGGCAAAGAGGGAGACAGCAAAATTATTTTCAGTTTCATACACTATTACGGTATAACATATCCTCAATATTAAAGGGGCACCTTCCAGTTAAGATTAATTTTACAACAAATTTACTTTCTGGATTAAAATAACAATGGATAACAAAAGATAGATTAACATTGTAAACAACATAAACAATAGTGTCCCATGATTCTTTGATGCAATCCAAGGGATTGAGCGGTTCCCCTTTAAGCAATGATTTCCTTACGATATGTTAAATTTACCTTTCTGTGGATGATGACATAATTTATTTAACAAAAACTGAAACTATCGGTAATATGTCATTGGCAAAAGGCTAGTAGAAGCCCAGAAATGGAATATACAGAACTTTTACAATATTGTCATAATTAGTAAAGCTTCATAATTGACCTGTCAATCAAGATAATTTGCAGTATCTGGAATTTGCTAATATTACCTGAGTGACTACAATGTACCAATTGCACATTGATAGGAGGGAAAAAAACCTCAATTTAATGAATATGTAAATTAGCTTCTTAATATTTTCATCAAAACACTTACTACAGATATTCTATTCTATTAGTATACCAGGGTATAGCATATTGTAAACTAAATTTGTTGTACTTAGCATCAAAATACATGTATAAAAGGTAAACCGTTAAATTACTTAATGAGCTGTAAGGATGTGCAGTCTACAGTGTGTGAACCAGCCAAGTCATGAACATCAAATTTAAGAGCATTTTATCAATTTTGTCAAAAAATGTACAAAATATTAAATAAGCAAGTGTAAAAGAACTCATATTAGAGTATGTTTGACAGCAATCTAGTGGCTTACTAAAGTTTAGATATTGTCCTTGCCTCTAGTGTGGGTAAAAAATGACAATGCTTGAATATGCATAAGTTATAAACACATTATATGACAGTGATTAGTGAGGTGTACACAATTTGAGGTATGTTTATGTAAAGACACTAGAAAATACATGATTGGTCTCAATGGTTTTTCTAATGTCTTTGGGTTATGATTGTGCTGAAAGATTGACAGTTATAAAGTAATTCGTGACAAATGCTCATGTCACATCGTCTATAGTTGAATAATACCTCTCAACATTTATCAAAAACTTGTGTACACCACTCTTGCATGGTCATCTGATCGAGTTTGCCATTTATAAACTAATTTTTTCAAAACACTGTCCAATGTTGAATGTGAACTCATTTGTTTAATTTGAAATTTTCCAAGTACATTTGTCATTGTCTAAATTAACCCATATTGGTAACTGAGATTGGGTTGGTAGCTTGGCATTTCTGTCTTGACCAAGAAATAGTTCAACAATCTTAAGTTTCAGTGCATGATCAAAAGGTTTATGCATCACTGCCCCACACACTGGTGCATATAACAAATCTATTTCCGCTATCCCTACTGTGACTAGAAAACCAAAGAGCTTCCAATAAGAAGCCAAAGTATGTAGTTTATTACCAAGCATGGTGCATTACATAAGTTATGCCAAAGATTTATTGGACAAGGGTATGCAAATGCTCACACTTTATGAGCATCAATCTAACGTATTTCTAACCAATGGCATCACTGTTGGGTGGGTAATGTGTCTTGGAAATATTAAATTGCAAAAACAGAAAATAGAAATAGTGCTGCATTAAAAAATGTAAAACACATTATTTCTTTTGCCCGATATCAATTTGTTGAGGATGGCTGGTCAACTATAGATCCAACTGGCATGATAATCAACCCGCAGTGTAGCATAATATGATAGTGTCAGTTTGAGTACATGTTTACCTTGATTTGACATAGTATTTACCATGATATTTGTTCGGTGTTATTCAGTGTTATTTGTTTCGTTTCAGTGGCTACTATAAGTTTACAAGTATTTTTAGTACGGATTCACTGTTATAATGTTACACCATTACTTTCGAGCTTCACCATCCTTGTACAGCAAGATCTGATGGCCTTTGCCACTGTGTCTGTCTATGCTGTGTGGTGTAGATCAGTGTGGATGGGCTTCATGCACTTTGCACATAATAAACTCTGTTATTATACATTTTATTTTGAGGATGCCCAGTGGCTGAGGGGGATACCTGCCGTGACATGAAGCTACATAATTAAGTGTCGTCAGTTTTAGTCATGCATGCAATACATGTTTACTTTGATTTGACATAGTATTTACCATGCAGTTTGTTTGGTGTTATTTAATTGGAAAACTTTACAAACTTTTGGACTTCTAGGTACTGCTTAGTACCCCTCTTCTCGATGTTCACAACCCCATCAGAGAGTGGTTGATCCCACAATGTGTGGATTAAATCAATTTACAATGTCTAAAATATAGACCAGGTTAAGAGACTCACTTGATTATCCAGATAAGCGTTTCAAAAATGCTAAATGGAGTCGAGTTTTAAAAATAAAAACATTTACAACACCCCTTCTCAATGTCAAATTTAATAAAATGCAAAGCTTTTTCCTTTTTGAAACATTTATCAATTTCAAAAACCCACTTTTTGTAGTAGAGTTTCAAAATGCTAAACATGCTTTACAAAAATTTAAAAACTTCCTGTAAAACACATGTACTTTATTTTAGCTGGAATTAATTTTCGCTAAAAAGACTTTTTGGGTGTTTTGCATGGAATTTATTTACAATGTTTTTTTTGACAAGGTGACTGTAAAATATAGGAAAAAAGGTATATTCACTGGATTTTATTTTCACTGAAGTGAATCATTCCTTCAGCAAAAATAGTGAAAATTAATTCCAAGCGAAAATAAAGTATTCTACAGTAGTAGCGGTTTTTTGGAAGTAAAATATTTAATTTTGCTTTTTTGTAGAAATGAATTGGTTAAATTGCTTTGTCAAAATTCAACCAACATCTAAAATCTAAAATTTTCGATGAACACATTTTCAATACTTATATAGTTTTTTTAATTTCTTTACAATACTGGTACAAGGTCTCAATAATGGATTTATTTACCTAATAATCACGTGACTAACTGCCGGTTGCGCCAGATATAACCATAGACCTTAGAGATCTATGATATATTATTGATTTTTATTTAGGGTAAAGTCTGGGCTTTCATAAAATATATAGTTTGAAATAGTTTAAAATGATCCTTCAGGAACTATAATTAATATATATTTTACTTCCTGGAAAACTGTACTAATGTACATGTATATATGAGGAGATTTGACGATGTTCCAGCACGACCTTTTACCTCTGATTTTGATGGGAAGACTAATTTAACATTTTAACGGTGATAACAGCTCATTGTCGAATCGAAGCTTTACCCATTCACGCTAACCACAATAAACATCCTACTCTTGAATAGGCGTCAATGACTACGGTAAAATTCATAAGATTGTGGGTCAGGAGTGAGTGTTGTTTTGACTTGGGTATTGTGTTTTACATTCCAACAGGGAATTTTTGCGTGGTTTTAATTTCGCGCTTTTGGACTCATCGATATCCGATATAATCCGATATAATGGATATCCGAGAGGCCGTGACCAAATGCTATTGACATTGTTTACTGTCTTACATCGTCATGTCCCAGTGTAATACCAATGCTTAGACCACTACATAACGATAATGCTGTTTGTAAATCAACAAGCTTTGTAGATTGAAATTTGAATAAACATCTAGGGAATCTACATTTTCGTTTACTCAAACCGTGATTGACAGGCATTTTGCATAAATTAGCCACCATTTTAAACTCGTGATTTTCACTGGTCGCGGCACGTTTCGACCGAAAATAACAACATTTATACATCAAAAGCCCAACCAGATGAGTGTAATGGCTAGCGTACATATTCATGCCCCCGTGGATATGTATTTGGAATCACAGCTTGATCTCCAAACATCGTAAATGGCACATTTCACGGAGCTCCCGCCACGATGTTAGCGGCTTGGTTCGGATAAGCATACTATT